TCTCCCTCTAACGATCTCCTCTTTCTTCGACCAGTAAACAATGATTGAATGCCTCAATTGGTCCAGTACTTTGATTGAAGATCTTCAATTGACAACTCCGACTACCATTTAACCTACATCACAAAATTTCATCCACGATGTCGATTTCAATAGAAATTGACATTGACGTTGCCTCAATTCTGCACTGAATTTCTCTACCTTAATTCAAGTAAGAAAACTTTTACCTAAACGTAATTTGTTTATTTTTAATTTTTTGCTTTCCTTATAATATAGTTGATAAGAATGTAGGCTTTGATCTAGGTTTTAAGACATTTCAGTCTCAGGAAAAAGGATGTCTAATGAAGATGATCAACAACTTATCTCAAATAATGTTTTCAACAATGCAGAGGGTAATTAAGGCCATTAGCTTATTTTGAATGATTGTTTTTGTTGTGAAGATTCATTAACTGGATGCAACTATTCAAAACTCCCTAAAAGAATGTTTTTACATATTCTGATTGTAGGAGAAAGAATGTCTAATGAAGATATTCACAAGAGAATCTCAGATGATGTTWATGATGGTGAACAATGTAATCAAGGTCATTGGTTTCTTTTAACTTATTGTTTTTTTTCATTTTGGAGGTTTTTAAACTGAATATGCTTGTACTTTTTAAGAAATATCTTAACATAAAGCCTTAACACACAGTATAGTATTGCACAAGTAACCACCTGATTGAGGAAGGAAAAATTGGTCATACCTTCACAACAGGCATGCTGTGAAGGATGTTGGGTAGGTCATGGTTTGCTTCACAATAGCCATGTCCATACATAATCATGACAATAACACTTCTAGAACTGTTCACATCATATCATAACCATAATCGTAACCCTTCTTGAACTGTACACACCATATCATCTATGTGGATGGTAGGCAAGTCATGGTTAGCTTCACACTAGCCATGACCATAACTAGGAGCCAAACATGGTTATTTAGTAATAAAAAAAAGATTATACATCTACAGTTTGTATGGAAAAGCTGTATACCTGTTTGTTTTATCTTTCTTCTTTGAGCTTTCACAACAGGCATGCTGTAAAGGATGTTGGGCAGATCATGGTTTGCTTCACAATAGCCATGTCCATACATAACCATGACGATAACACTTCTAGAACTGTTCACATCATATCATAACCATAATCGTAACCCTTCTTGAATTGTGCACACCATATCATCTATGTGGATGGTGGGCAAGACATGGTTAGCTTCACACTAGCCATGACCATAACTAGGAGCCAAACATGGTTATTTAGTAATAAAAAATAGAATATATATCTACAGTTTGTATAGAAAAGCTGTATACCTATTTGTTTTATCTTTCTTCTTTGAACCTTCACAACAGGCATGCTGTGAAGGATGTTGGGCAGGTCATGGTTTGCTTCACAATAGCCATGTCCATACATAACCATTACAATAACCATGACCATAACATGTCTATAACTGTTTTAACTATTTCTTTTGCTTTGTGAAGAGTATAAATCCTTGGATATTTAATTAACGACCCACCCCTTCTTTAAAATTCAAGAAACTTGTTTTAACTATTCCTTTTGTTTTGTGAAGTTTTCTTTTGACAATTCTAACTATGTTTTTGGTGATGGTAAACACATAAAATTTTACATTGCAATATTTAAATGAAAAGTTGTATATTATACAAATCTATAAATTTTGTAATTGTTGTTTCTTAGATTTAAATGATGCTTTAACGGAAGAGTCGGATAACAATGATGTCTCTTCACCATATCAATCAAGGACTTGGACACCAAATGTAGGGGATATGTTTAAGCCTATTGTTGGAACAAAGTTTGGAAATTTGAAAGATGCATTTGAGGGTTACAAAAAGTATTCGAAAGCAGCAGGTTTTGATGTTAGAAAGTCTACACAAAGAACGGATAGGAAAGGAATTGTGCTAAGAAAGTTCTTTGTTTGTAGCAAAGAAGGTATGAAG